CCTGCCACGATAGCTAAGACTCGGGAATTGACTGTCACGTTCTCAAACAGCTAAATCGGTAGAAGAAGGATGGGGCGTGATCGAGGCGCGATTCTTCGCCGCGAAACCGAACAACGATTGTCTTCTTTTTTTTTTTTTTTTTTGTATTTACTCATGTATTCGTCCTCCTCTTCTTGGTCTTCTTCTTTTCCCATTGCTTCTTCCTTGACTGTTGTCGGCGTTGGGACGGAAGGGAGACAGGGGTGTTATTAGTTTTAGCATTGAAGAAGTTTGGCAAGATGAATGGGGGTGGGCAGGAGGGGGGGGGGCGTTTATCGGACCAAACCCCCCTCTTCTTTCCTTCTGAGTTTCAGAGTGTCCATTTACGTAAACAACCTTTTCCCGCTTCGTCCGGTCTTTGACGATGGTATCACTTGTCTGGGCGCCTGTGTGTCGTGTGCCGTTTGCCGACGTGGGGATGTTGGGTTTGGTGTGTGTATGTGTGTGTGTGTGTGTGTGTGTGTGTGTGTGTGTGTGTGTGTGTGTGTGTGTGTGTGGTGGGATAAGATGAGACGAGATGAAATGTCCTGGGAACGTGTGTGTGGCGGGATCTCGATGGAGGCAGTACAGGGTGGAGGAGTAGGGAGGCACGGGTTTGTTCATGTCGTCGTCCCTTCTTGGAGTGCTTGCGTAAGTGAGATGCGGATCGGGGGGGCAAACGGGATGAGCAGGTCTACGGCGCGTCTATTTCAGGAGAGAGGGGGTGTTCTTACGCAGTCAAGGTGACGATGCTAGGCCTCATTATACACCACACGCGTAGTAAGTACGCCAAAAAAGAAAGTCCGGGCGGGATTTGAGAGAGAGGCACCGGCCGGGGGGATGCAGGGATGAACCCTCCGCCTCCGTCCCTCCTCTTCGCCCCGTGCATTGCCAGTGTCCCTCGGCGACGGAGAGAGAAGGGGGCGGCGCGGTAGCGCGGGCCGGTCTTCTCCGGGTCGTCACACCGTGGGCCGTGTGGTACCCCCGGGGGAGGCAGGTGGGGTCCGCGTGGCTGGTGAAAAGGCAGACGGGGCGACGAGCCGATCAAAGTCCGACCCTTCGACTTCCTGCCTTGGATGGTCCTTGAGAGCCCCTCACGTGAAGAAGGGAGGAGGAGGAGGAAGGATGGGGGGGGGGTCGAGTTTTTTGTTCCCCAGGCGGCTGTGGACGAGGACTTTCCTTTGACTGATGTCCAGTCGCGGTTCCCCAAAGGGATCCAGTCATTATTCTCCTTCACATCTCGAGAACGCCCCCCCCGTACGTTGTGTGTGTATGTGTATGTGTGTGTGTGTGTGTGTGTGTGACCTAGACTCCTCTGTTTCTCCTCCGATGTAAATTACTTCTCGCGAGGCCCGACGATCTTGCGTCATGGTGGAGCCAAGCCCCCCCCTCTTTCAACCAAGGCTGATGAAGACCAACATCGGTACCCCCAAAGCAGAAAAGAGGGAGAGAGGGTTTCTTGTCCCCTGGCTGCGCGTCCCCAGTAGTTGTGGGGATCTCGCGCCCCTGCCCCCGTTCCTGACTTTTGTCTACTCTATTGCACTAGTGTAGGTACAGCTACACGATGTTTTGCTGATGGTATGCGATAATTAAGCACGCAGGACGGTGTGGAGTGGGAAGCCCCGATCACTGATTGATAAACTCGAATGCCTGGGCCGGGCGGGGGCCGAGGAAAGTCGGTGTCGGCACAGGAGACCGTCCGTCCGAGACTGTACGAATAGTGTAGATAGACGTCACCTTTCGGTTTCTCTAAAGTAAGGCTGTTATTATAGTTACAAGTCACCAAGCCAAGAGGTTAAAGCAATTATTGAAAGGTCTTGAACAGTCTGGTTGGGTATATAATCTGTACTGAGATACACATCTTGCAGAGAAACTCTAACAAAGACACACGGCAAATGGGATAACGAAGGCCAAAAATGCAATCGGGGGCAGGTTAGAGACGGAGCGCCGTAGCGCTGCATGCGCCTATCCTATTCCCCTAAAGCCTGATCCCCCTCCGCCGCCAATTGTACGATCGATGGAGGGGGGAAAACCATCCCGGAGTGTCCCGCTGCTTCCGGTACTGGTAGAAAGGGAGGGGAGGAGAAGCAAGGAGGAAAAAGTGGACTTGGCGTGACGCCAGACCCTGATGGCGTCATGGCGAAACGAGTCCTGGAATTATCCCCTCGCTGCCAGGCTGGGCCTAGATGAGATTCTGTGACCCAGATTGTGTGTAATGTGTGAGATACGTTGTGTTCCGTTTTGCGCCGTAAACTCCGCCGTTGTTGTTAAATCCGGAACCCTAAGCTGATACGGACCCGACTGCATGTACACTGGCTCGCGATCCTGCGTCCCCCGATGCCGATGCGACGCGTGAAGGGTCATCTGCCGTCGGGGTCGGGGAGGGGGGGGGGGGGGGGGGGGGGGGGGGGGGGGGGGGGGGGGGGGGGGGGGGGTTGGATCAGGCCGCGTGCAAGTTGAGCCTCGGGAAATTCAATGGAAACCATGTCCTTGACGCCGCCCGGTGCGTGAATTCGTGAGATTTCGTGTAGGTGGTTTTCGCACTCTCGGCACCCCTGACCGGAGCTCAGCAGGGCTTGCTTGGTCTAGGAGGCGCTGAGAGCTTTCCCCCAGAGCCCGGGTTCCTCATCTACTTGGGTCCGGATCGCCAGGAGGGGCTCGAAAGGGATCGCGCCACGGGGGCCGCGATGTCGCTGCGGTCGCTGTCCATGGAGCGCTTCTCGGGAGACGGGCTGCGAGGGAAGTAGCATGTCATGTTGGGGGCCTGGACGCCGGGCGAGGGCAGGTCGGACGGCGAGCGGCGGGTCTCGCGCCAGGAGGCGTAGATGGACTTGCACAGGTGTGCGGACATGGTGTAGGTGGGCGACATTGTTGGACGTGTGTTGAGTCTGAATTGCGAGTACCCGGGTTGTCGGTTGTAGGAGAATGGAGCTTCTCTCTGGTGGTGCTGGCACGGAGGGTGGTCGTGTGTCTCTTGTATAAGTGCTAAGCAAGGCTAAGCTGAGGTGGAGCGAGTTGCAGTGCAGTGTAGTGCAGTGCAGTGCAGCTGGTTATGGGGTTCCCGACACGCGTCTTTGGGTGTTAGCGACGGGACGAACGTGTTGATGGTTTCGGTCTGGTATTGTAATTCTTGGGAGGAACGGCGGGAAACAAGATGTTTGAGAAGTGGAAGATCAGGAGGGGGTGGGCAGGCGGGCTGCATTATATCTGGGCTCTGGAGAAAGTCCTAGCAAGAAAGAGAGAGAGAGAGAGAGCCAGGCACCAGGGGTTCCTTTCTCGCGCTCTCTTTGTGTGTTTCGACTTCCAGGCCGATCGGTACGAATCCCACATGTACATTCACAAAAGTATCCGGCGGTCACTCACACCTGCCTGTCAACTTGGACCGAAAACATGCGATTTGGCGTCGAAAAAGGGCAGGAAACGGACGAGGGCGGACATGGGGGGGGGTGAGGTTGTGTACGTGTGACTCGTTTGTTGACTGGCCCGGCGAGGCCCGGCGAGGCCCAGGTGCAGGTCTGCCCCACGCCTTCGGGTCGTTCGTTGGGCAGTGAGGTGGGTGCGAGCAATGGGAAAGCCTGGCTGGCATCGGGGAGAGCCGCCACAGATGAGATTACCCAATGAGGAGCTGTGAAAGTGGGAGGATGACCGGCTTTTGGCCAATGATGGACGAGGTAAAGTAAGCAAGCAAGAAGCAAGCAGTCGAGTCAACGTGGTGGTGGTGGTGCTATGTGTGGGAGAGAGGATGAATGGATGGGTGGTGGGAGGGAAAACGTGCGATTTGAGGCCTGTGGCTGTGCTAAATGGCACCACGGACCGAAGACACGCACGGTACATTGTACGATGTGTGTAGGTATTGCGTGCTGACGACGGGGAATGAGCAACCATGAGGCGTCGACACCAGCCACGCCATGAGCGGGCGATCGATCGCCGGGGCAGGTGCTATGCACGCACTGACGGGCTGGAGGATGGGATCACCAGCCAGGGTCGAGGCCAAGGCAATAGCCAGACACATTGCACTCGTAACGAACGCTGGATCCGAGGTTTGACAATTGACAATCAACAATGGCAGGCAGAGAGGCAGGCTGGCAGCCAGCCAGCCACACTTCCGGAGTGGAGGGGCCGCTTCGGGTCGGAGCCCTCTCCCGAGCCTTGCCCGTCTCTCTTTCCCGACGGAATCCTCAAGGGGACTTTGTCTAACAGGCAGGCAGCCGTGGAGCTCCACGCTCCGAACCGAAGCTCTGCTGCCGCTGCTGCCGCTCACAAGATCCAGCCGAGTCAGCTCCACGGTACCGATTGAGGCAGCTGGTCGCACCAGAATACTGTACTGTACCGTGCTGCACTGTACTGTACTGTCCTGTCCTGTCCTCAAGGCCGGGTTGCGGGAATCGTAAGCCACAGGTAGGCTCGCAAAAAGTCGCCGTCGGTTGTATATACATCGTACCATCGGCTACAGACGGGACTGAAAAGTGCAAAGCAAAGTAGCCCGCTGTTTCTGCCTCGTCGAGCGAGGGCCACGGCATGTTGTTTCGGCTTTTGGAACGTTCCAGAAGTGTTATCCTCTCCTTGGCAGCCAGAAAGAGTCTGAGGAATTCTGGCAGTCCAGTCCCCCGTCGGCTGTTTGCCATGTGCAGGCAGGCAGGAAGGCAGCCAATGTAGCAAGGGCAAGACGATCAATCGTGAGAGCTGTCAGTTGTGGTTCGATCGGCGCTCGGCTGAGTCAGCCTTTACCGGCAGCATGGTCGGGATCAATGGCCTCCCGCCCAATTCATTTGAACGGTAGGGAAAGGGGTTAGAGATCGCGGCTGAAAGGATAGATAGGGATTGGAAGTTGGACGACGTGGTCTCTCATCGAGGCTGACAAGAGTTGGTAAACCTATGGCCGTACGTCATTCGTCGCAACCAATCTACTCTCGCTGTGGAGAGGATTAGACATGCTTGATATAAGACAAATCCAATTGTTCCAACAACAAAATGCGATAAACTCCGATATGGTGTAGTGGCCAACATGATGCCCTCTCATCTCACAATGAGAGGTTAGGCATAGCCCCGAGTTCGATTCTCGGTTTCGGAACATGATGTTTTACCTTTTCCCATGTCTTTTTTTCTTATCTTTCATATGCATGCATGTATGATAAGTCTTTTCTCTCTCTTCTTCTTATTTTCTTCATAGTCTTCGACATTCTCTTGGGTTTATTTCATTTCCGACATCCGGTGCATCCATGGAATGAATATTCACCGTTCATGTCCTATTACAGCCGGAAACAAGCACATCGTCACATCCGCGTCGGACGGCCTCCCATCAAAAGTCGAGGTCGGTTCAACGTACAATCAATCCCCTCAGCCACTTTTGTCGTCCGTCCGTGTCCGGGAACAGACAGAAGCGACTACTGGCGGGCCTTCCGCACCAACTACATAATTGGAAGAAACCAACGTAATGTGCAACTGACATGGCAGTCGATGCTAGCACGCCCGCCCCGCGCACGTCAAAGTGTCCAAACCGCCCCGTCATACGTCATGGGCCGCCGTGGTCCGTCCGTCAGCTTACTAGTCCACCTGTCGCTGTACAATTCAGGTACGGTACCTAGGCCGAGCTCGGGTGTGCCGTCGATCACCGGGCGGACGGTTCGGCAGGCTATACGTCGGTGGTGGCAGTGGCATAAGATGCGTGCACACACATGGCTTAACAGATCCGTAGGAAGCACTGGACGGTTCGCCGTCGTTTCATCGTGGACCGAAATTCTAACCCCATGGCTGACGGGCACGACGGGCGCAGCAAGGAGGTAGGGCGCGGGAGTGAGTAATAACGCAGACCTTGGCCATGGGATATAGATGGATATAATAGCGGCCCGTGTTATCGAGAGACTGCGGTCGGTGAGTCGTAGCCGAGGAAGGGGAGGGGGGTCGCAGGCAGAGCTCACACGGTTCACCGCCCGTCGTAGGTGACCGGTGGCGGCCGAGAAAGCCTATTTCTGCTGGTGAGGTGGTAATAGCGACAAGCTTCAAACTTGGGGCCGCGTAGCCATGGTCCATGTGCTTAAGGAGGGAGGCAGGCGGGTGACAAAAAAAGCCGCACTCAGTAAAGTTGCCTCAAGGTGAGCTGTACCCTAGGGATCTACAATATGTTAAGGACATAGATAACCAAAAACTCCCTCTATGCCCCAAGTTGTAGCGTATCGGTACTTAAGTCAACCACTGTAATTTGAGGGTGCGGCTTTTTTTGTCACCCGCCTGGGAGGCAGGCAGGAGGCGATATGCCGACAGTCCATCTCATGATTCTCATCACAGTGAAGACTCTCTCGCCTAGGTAGGCGGGCAACGTAACGTCTGGAGCGGCGGTGGCGACCGCAGCAGGTGGAGACAGGAGGAGATTGGAGGGTTGAGAAAGAAGCAGCCCGGTCTTTACCACTACGACGCTGGCTGGCTGGCAGGCTGGCATGGCGAACGTACAGTAAGTATACTGGGCGCGCCGGAAGCCAAAATACAATCAGACTTCGTTCGCCCTTCTCGAACGGCGCAAGCAAGCATGCAAGCCGAGCAAGCAATGGCTGGCTGGCGGGCTGGACCACGAGTCCCAGGTCAAGAGAGTCCTAGGAGGCATGACATGACCTGTTTGTCGGGTTTGGTTTGGTTTTTTTGGTTATAGATGCGTCGCCGACATATGGTTCGACGGGCAATTTTACCTTCATCTACCGGGACCTAAAATTTCTTGTCACGACCTCCTCGTGTGCGGCGGGTTCGCTAGGTAATGAATCAAGCAACCCCCCGGGACGCGGCGGGCGGTGGGGAGGGGGGGGGGAGGGTTTGGGCGCATAAAGATGTGTGTGGTGCTGTTCCCTCTTCTCCCTTTGGGTGCACATTCGCGACCGAAACATGACCTGGCCTCTACTAGGGTACTACTTTGCTATGGGATGGAGAGATACTACTCCGTACTAGATGGAGGGATGAAGGGGCAGGGATGGGCTGCGGCCTCTCGTGGTATCGCATGAAGGATGGAGGCTTTCTCGCCGGGTGTTGCCAAGACGGACTCCATCATGCCTTTCAAATCAAATCAAATGGAGGCGCATGGGACGAAGAGGCTTGATGTGGAGGGAGAAGGTGACATGAACCCCCACCCCTGTTGAGAGTGAGTCGTGATTCTGTCTGCTCCTCATCTTGACTCGACTCACCAATAGACCAATAGTCGGCAGAGCCGATGAGAGCGAGAGAGAGAGAGAGAGAGATTTTTTCTTTTCAAAAAAAAAAAAAAAACATTACCTGCCATGTCAAGAGACATTTCAGAGACATTCTCTCGCCTTTTCTCAACCAACCAACCAACCAACAAACACATAGAGAGAGGCAGGTGTTAAGAATGAGAACCAGCCCGACTTGTAAAGAGGGAAAATGCACAGCGCCATGGCGACGCTTGGTCGCATCAGACAGGTAGCAGGTAGCCGGTAGCAGGTACGTACTCACTCACCCAGGTAAGCAGCGAGCGAACCGAACAATCAATCCCCTACGTATCCGTAGTAAGTGCTTTAACCCCCTCTGTATAGTAATCGTACCTGCCATACCTAGGGGGTGGAGGCGGGGAAGACCGAAGAAAGCTACGCAGCCACGCCCGTCATCCGTTGATGGATCGTCTGGCCGTTTCTTCCCAGGGTATGCCGGCAGCAGCAAGACATGCTATGGGGCAGTAAATTTGAGCTTGTTGATCTGAAACGACAACGGCCAACTTGGATGCCGGCCGCAACCCATTCAACTGTTGCATTCTAGCGTGGCCGATCCCTCTCTCTTCTCGATTACCATCTACCTAGGCACTATGTAGTTTACTGCTGGGTATGTACGGATACTCAGTGTATTGTATGTACGCTGCCCCTCTCTTTAGCACCAACCAACCCGCTGCATCGTCATGTCCTAGGAGTGCAGCAGGTGGACCGCTTTCGGTGGCGCCGCCTGTGGCAGTCTAGCCGCTCGGCCTCACTCTCGATTCCAAAAAGGAGAGAGGCCAGAAACCGCTCGAGCCCTTCTTTCTTTCTCTGCCCGTCGGTGATTCTCAAGCAACTGACCTGACTGACGCTGACGACGCGGGGGCGGCGTTAGTTTGACCAATATCCGAATTCCCTTCTTCTTCTTGTCATTATTCCCAAACGCCGCAAAAGAACCAATGCTGCCGTATGCTCAGACAAGCGGGACAGGGCATCCACGGTTTCTATAATCATTGGTATTTTTATTGTTCTTGTTATTGTTGCTGTAAACTACTAATCATTCCTTTCAAATGTTTTCCTCCACCTGTTCGTTCTATTACCTTCCTTTCGCAGGCAACTGAATCGTTCGAGGCTTACCCTCGTCTCGGTATAGGACTCGACCCTACAGAACGGGCTCATCTCTTCATCTCATCGCCGCTCAGCCACCCCCCCCCCCCCCCCCCCCCCCCCCCCCCCCAAAAGCACGGTGGCCGGCCTGGTTCTTGCTGCTGAGACAGACCCTCTCCGTCCCTTCTTTTCGTCTCATCCAATCCATCAGAGTACCTACCTACCCAGAGGAGAGAGACGCGGACCGGGCTGAGTCTCTAGGTATCACACCAAGCATCGAAAAGGCTGTCATCTCATCTCATCTTGCATCTCAAAGCTCATGCCGTCAACATCCCTGACACCCATCCCATCCCATCCCCGCCCCTCCCCCCTACCCTCCCAGCTTCCACCATCGGGCATTATCCAGAGAATTACCCCCCTGTCCAGTCCCATCTGCCCTCTCTACTCCTTGCTCATCCTTGGTCTGCACTGAGGCTCACGTAGGTAGGTATCCCATCGGCAACAGGAGGAAGAACGAATACGGGAGGGTTTGTAGCCAGTCCTTTGCAAGTCTCGAACCCTCCACTCTATCGAAACAAGGTTCTCCTCCTCTTCCTCTTCCAAACAAACATGGCCCCTCCCCTGTTTATGATCTGCCCATGCCCTTAGTCCAACAGTCCGTTATCCATGCACCCTGCCACGCAGCCTCTCCCGCGCCTCGGCCATTCGGCCGTCTGAGAGGCCGGACCGAGTCCCTCTATTAGTACCATAGGTATGTATACAAGACGATTGCAGCATCCTTGCCCTGCGCCATGGGATGCCCTTTTTATCTTCCCATCCTCCTCCCGCCTCCTTCACCAAACGTGTCAGTTGCACGCCCTCCAAAACCCTATCCTGTTTTGTCTCGTTTGGCCGTCGATCTCGACGAGACGAAGACATACAAGACTATTGCCGACATACCGATACATGCTTCGACGCCTACACTCTTTCGGCTCTCGTTGCTGCACGCCCATCCTGCATTAGGCAGCTCAAAGAATCAAACTATATCGCCCAGCCCTTCTCCATATTACGGCACTCACTACCGGCCGTTTCCTCTTCTTCCTGCTTCGCTTCCTTGTCTTCTTCTTCTTCTTCTTCTTCCTCGCCCCCACCGTTTTTTTATACCTTATTTAATATTTCCATGCCCATGTGCCGCGCGTGCGATTCTACGCTGCTGTCCTCCACAAGGCTATGGAGGTTGTAATTCCACCCAGAGATCACGGGCCGTCGTACAGATATGTTTGGGGCGACGACGGTACCGTCAAGAGGATAGAAAGGTGCGCTCGAGACGACGCCCTCTTCTTCTGTTTCCTACCTCTGGATTTCCGGCGACGAAACTGACAGTAGGCAGACTTCCCGAGCAACAAAAGCCGCAACAGAGGAACAGCACCGTCAGCAGACAGACGGTGCAATGGCCGTTTCTCCGGCACCAAGCCTCCGCATCCGACGTTGCGTCGTCGCGGCCCTTCACTGCGTTTACCGGCTTCACCGGCTTCACCGGCAGTTACCCGGACCCGCAGAGTTTGCCTCTCAGAGACCCCCCGAGACGAGCGACCTGGGCCCCCGGAAAACGCAACTCGACGGCCACGATCCTCGAGAACATCGTCCCGGACTACATCATCAACTACATCAGAGGAGAGACGCCCGAGACCATGGCGCGCAGAAGAGAGGAGCGGCACAGACAGACGCAGGACCCCGACACGCTCCACCACCACCACGCCAACGCATCCAGGGGCGCCAACATAATGAGCTCGCACGGATA